ATTTTATTTATGACACATGGATAGAGAAATTACCAACCATGAGTTTAGTTTTCTAACAAAAAGAAATTTTAAAATCTTCCGAGTTTAATCTTTCAAGTTACATCATTATTTAATAAAGAAATTAATTCACTGATAAGAAGAGAAAAGAAAGAAACAGTGAGGCATTAAAAAAATTAAAAGAACACAAAAAGATATAATTGGTATTTATTCAGGCACAAAGTCTTAACAGCAAATAGGAGATAGGAAGATTGTGCTGCGTCAATCATCCTCATTTAAATGGGCTTGCTCACCTTGAAAATCAGTCTACATTTCAAATTCTTTTTTTTGAGCTCAAACATTAGATCATGGATCAAAATATACAACTACCTTGGTTGATACAAGATGCTAGACATAGATGTACAGGTAGATTGATAAGTACCTATAGATTCCATACAAAATGGATACATTTTAAAGACTTACTGAAAGAAATTCTAGTGTTATTCAGATATTGTGTGCACATCAAATTACATATTAAACTAATTCTCTAAATAGTTTTTTTGTTTATAAATGAATGGATATCTATAATAAAATGTATTGAAAACAATATGAATTTTGTATTGGCTTTGAGAAATTAATTATATATACTATCCTTGTAGCTTAGTCTTTCAAATTACATCATAACTTATTAAAAAACTGACCAATAAGAATACGTAGGGAAATTGATAATGTTGGAGAAAAAAAAACAACTAAGAAAATAACATTTTAAAACGAACAGTATATGTAGAATAAAACATTTAAACTTACATTCATTTTGTATTTGTTTTGAGAAATTAATCTCAGAAAGAAGTTCAGTGTTAGAAATCCAAGATATTTTATGATATAAATTTTGAATTGTCCATTTCCAAGAGTAATTTCTAGAATGTTAGATAAGTAGACATGTTTATCTATGATTTCTATTGGGTAGGGACTTACCTGGAACACAGAATCCTTTTCAGGTTGAACAATATTATATAAATCTGTCAGAAAAAACTGAACAAAGTGTGTGGTTGAAAGTCATTTTAAAAAATAATTATGGAAATTATAGTGGAGAGTAAGCTAATAAAAAAACAAATAATATTTAAAAATATACAGAAATTTGAGGCAGCCATGTTATTGTGTTCTTATTTTTTGACATGAAATAACAAAAATTAACAAAGTGTAAATGTCTGTGTTAGAAAACGATTAATCAATTAAAAGATACAAAAATATAAATAATGGAAATTATGGTTTGTGGGTGATTCTAAGTAAACAATGAGATAAATATTTTTTAAAATGTAAACATTTTTATTTCAAACAAAGTCCTACAGAGCAAAACTTAAATTTGGGATCAATTTTTGATTGGTAAAATATTTTTATACGAATTTATGATCATCCTAAATATCTAACCAAGAAAAAAAAATATTTTAAACAAAAATATTTTAAACAAAATTCTATAAGTGTAGAATGTTGTCTTTAAAAATGAATACATAGGAAGGGAAAGTAATTATTTTCCCCCACCATCACCACTTTTAATAAAAACATTTTTCAATGCAAACTACAGGTTGGAACTTAAATCAATTCAAAATTAAAAAATATTTTAACAGTAAAGTTTCAATGTTAAACTCAATAACAAAATATAAGTATTGAATTATTTTGCATAAAATTTTAAATTTATTAAAAATAACTTTTTAATAAAAAATAAAAGAAAAAAATGTAACCAATATATTTTTTAAATGCACAATTTACAGTTTGAAAAAAAATCACAAAAAGAGAAATATTATTTTTAATTGAATGAATCTGTGAATGAAAAACCATTTTGAAAAATGACTTTCCTACACAAAAACAAATAAAGTGTCATCTGCTCAAATCATCTACCTTCATTCAAAAGAAAATCCAATTAAATTTGACTGAAGATATCAAGAGAGAAACCATACAATTCACAGGCCTTGGAGAAATCTACACACACACAGCTATACACTTCAGACATGTTTTATTGAAATCAAATGACAATGTTTGTTCACTTCAAATTTTCCATTACATTTTTCCAGTCTGTATATATAAGCTGATCCAGAGGAAATTTATGAAGAAACTTCAATTGTATATTCTTCCCTACACATTTAATGAACAGGACCGGTTATTACTCCCCCATCCCACCGCAGATTCTGATCTTTATAATGTCAGGCTGTTCTTCAAAGTTTATCAGAGATAATTTGCCTAAAAACAAATACTACAACCTGGATTATGACATTTAGACAGCCTCCCAAGATTATGAGAAGAAAATTATCCTTAACTAAAAACTTTGTTCATGTACAAAAAAAAATATTCCAAACTAGGAAGCTAATTGCTCCATGTATTCACTCACCCACTACTTTCTCTGCCAACAATTGTGACAGGCCAGTGACAAGTCTATGGTTGAGATGACAAGTGATGGGACCAAATAAAAGATGTATTCTTTACAGATTTACTTTTCAAAACTGATAGCCTGGATGTGTGGATAACATAATGGCTATGTGGAAAATGAGATCAACAAAATGAGTTCAAGATCTGTCCTAGTCTGTTGCCTTTACTTTTACACAATCGCCCTTGGGGAAGGCATGAAGCGTCTCCTACTTAACTCTTACTAGACTTGGGGTACTGCAGACTACTACTTCCCTACTGTATTACTGCTAACTGTTCATGACCGCTGGTGGGTCCCTGTATTTATAGGGAATATGTTTCTTTCAGGTATTGGGTCACTAGTCGAATTGCATATGTGCATAATAATAGGGTCAGGGGAAATGGTTTGTTGATATCACCCTCAGCACATACAGTCAAGGTGACAACCAACAGGTAACCAGGGCAAAATGGTGGATAGTAATAAAAAATAAAATATTATTACTGAATTTTAGTCAAGATCTGACCAAGCATAAGCCAGTTGGTTTATCCCAATTGTCATATTTCTTGTCAGTCAGTGGGAGTGAAAGGTGGGTGTTCCTCATTTCATATAACTATAATAGTTAAAACCAAACAATTCCAGGTGATAATTTAATTTATTTTAATTAAATGATTTTCATTTATCAAAAAAAAAGAAAATAAAAAAGAGACACTGGGATACTTCTGGTATGCTAGTAAAATACAAATTACCCAGATTAGCTATCTTGGTCCTTCACATTAACTTCACAATTCAACTGGCACCGGGTATAAATTCAATTTCTAGTAAAATACACACCAGTAACTGTTAGTATGGCAATCAGACAGACAAATGGAGACAGCAATCAAAGAGAGAGAGAATGACAAAGACGGGAATCAGAAAGAGACAGAGAGAGAAAGAGAGACAGAGAGAGAAAGAGAGACAGAGAGAGAAAGAGAGACAGAGAGAGAAAGAGAGACAGAGAGACAGAGAGAGACAGAGAGACAGAGACCACAATCAGAAAGAGACAGAGACCACAATCAGAGACAGCAATCAGAGAGACAGCAATCAGAGAGACAGCAATCAGAGAGACAGCAATCAGAGAGACAGCAATCAGAGAGACAGCAATCAGAGAGACAGCAATCAGAGAGACAGCAATCAGAGAGACAGCAATCAGAGAGACAGACAGCCAGAAACAGCAAAGAGAAAGACAGACAGAGACAGCAGAGAGACAGACAGACGGACAGAGACAGCAATCAGAGAGAGACAGAGACCACAATCAGACAGAGACCCCAATCAGAGAGACAGACAGACAGAGACAGCAGAGAGACAGACAGCAATCAGAGAATCAGCAATCAGAGAGACAGCAGACAGAGACATCAATCAGAGAGACAGAGACATCAATTAGAGAGACAGCAATCAGAGAGAGCCAGAGACAGCAGAGAGACAGCAATCAGAGAGAGACAGCAGAGAGACAGCAATCAGAGAGAGACAGCAGAGAGACAGCAATCAGAGAGAGACAGCAATCAGAGAGACAGCAATCAGAGAGACAGCAATCAGAGAGACAGCAATCAGAGAGACAGCAATCAGAGAGACAGACAGCCAGAAACAGCAGAGAGACAGACAGACAGACAGAGACAGCAGAGAGACAGACAGACGGACAGAGACAGCAGAGAGACAGACAGACGGACAGAGACAGCAGAGAGACAGACAGACGGACAGAGACAGCAATCAGAGAGAGACAGAGACCACAATCAGACAGAGACCCCAATCAGAGAGACAGACAGAGAGACAGCAGAGAGACAGACAGCAATCAGAGAGACAGCAATCAGAGAATCAGCAATCAGAGAGACAGCAGACAGAGACAGCAATCAGAGAGACAGAGACATCAATTAGAGAGACAGCAATCAGAGAGAGACAGCAGAGAGACAGCAATCAGAGAGAGACAGCAGAGAGACAGCAATCAGAGAGAGACAGCAGAGAGACAGCAATCAGAGAGAGACAGCAGAGAGACAGCAATCAGAGAGAGACAGCAGAGAGACAGCAATCAGAGAGAGACAGCAGAGAGACAGCAATCAGAGAGAGACAGCAGAGAGACAGCAATCAGAGAGAGACAGCAGAGAGACAGCAATCAGAGAGAGACAGCAGAGAGACAGCAATCAGAGAGAGACAGCAGAGAGACAGCAATCAGAGAGAGACAGCAGAGAGACAGCAATCAGAGAGAGACAGCAGAGAGACAGCAATCAGAGAGAGACAGCAGAGAGAGACAGCAATCAGAGAGAGACAGCAGAGAGACAGCAATCAGAGAGAGACAGCAGAGAGACAGCAATCAGAGAGAGACAGCAGAGACAGAGAGAGACAGCAGAGAGACAGCAATCAGAGAGAGACAGCAATCAGAGAGACAGCAGAGAGACAGCAATCAGAGAGAGACAGCAGAGAGACAGCAATCAGAGAGAGACAGCAGAGAGACAGCAATCAGAGAGAGACAGCAATCAGAGAGAGACAGCAGAGAGACAGCAATCAGAGAGAGACAGCAATCAGAGAGAGACAGCAATCAGAGAGAGACAGCAATCAGAGAGAGACAGCAATCAGAGAGACAGCAGAGAGACAGCAATCAGAGAGACAGCAGAGAGACAGCAATCAGAGAGAGACAGCAATCAGAGAGACAGCAATCAGAGAGACAGCAATCAGAGAGACAGCAATCAGAGAGACAGCAATCAGAGAGACAGCAATCAGAGAGAGACAGAGAGACAGCAATCAGAGACAGAGAGACAGCAATCAGAGAGAGACAGAGACATGCACACACAGTCAGCAGAGAGAGAGAGAGACAGACAGACAGCAATAAAAGAGAGAGAGAGAGAGAGAGAGAGAGAAACCAGCTTAAATAAATGAATATCAAGGAGCTAAGATATGAACAGACTGAGGTTGATAGACATCAGACACTGTCTCGGATAAATGGACTGATATAGATGAACAGGCATACTGACAATATCAGACAGATAGCAAAGAGGTGGGGGTGGCATTCAACCTAGCACATGCTTACAGACACATACTAATATCTAGATTTGTAGACACTGAGACAATTAGAAAACAAAACGGAGACAAAAGTACAGTTAGACACAAAATAGCAGAGATAAAAAGACAGAATAAATTGATTTGATTCAAATTCAACAAGCCTCTTATTAAATTTTCTCCACAGTTCTGTATTCAATTTCTTTTATCTGAACCTATTCATTTGCATTAGATTTTTATAACTGTGTGTGTGTGTGTGCGTGTGTGTGAAAGAGAGGGTGGTATTTTGGGGAGCAAGAATTCATCCATACAAGTTTTATTAAATTCCACCAACAAGGTCTGTCTATTCAACTTTTTATTATATCTTTCCAGTTTCAAATTGAGTTGTTGGACATCAGAACTGAAGTTATGAATAAATTGTTCAAAGTTCATGTTTTGTCCTTGTTATATTCAAATACTTTCAACTATCCCAATTCCAGCAATCTAAAAATGCCAGAATTTAGTCAGATAAATCTTGCTTCCCATACATTCTTGACAATGACTGATCATTGAAAGTATTTGAATATAACAAGAAAAAAAGTAAATTTTAGATAATTTGTTCATAACTTCAATCCCAATGTACAACACTTCATATGGAATGGTTGAATGAACATGTTTGGAGATAGACGTACAGGAAAGCTACATTATGGCAGTGGAAAAGTGACAAGCTGAGATCCCAGGTCAGGACCAATAACATTACAGATTCTTCTTTGGATTTTATCAAGAATTACTAAATATATATCAGGAGCAGATGTGGTAGTTAATATTCAAAGCATGGATGAATGGTAGACTTATAAATATGTAAGATAGATTCTGGTTAGAAAATTTGTCTAGCACAACACAGTGAAGCAACTTTCCAACATAAAGAGCAATATTTAAGTTGGACAAAGGAATACATGAAAACTATTTTCTAAACAATTTTTACAGATAAATGTAGAGCTACATTGGATGAACAGAATGGTGGGGCTAAAGATTGGGTTCTTCATGGAAATAATCAACTATCACAATAGGAAGGTGATGAAGTAACAATGTGGGTTAGAACTGTAGACAATGAAATAATAGATTGCTTCAAAGTTGATGATAGTGTCAAGATAAATTCAGAGAATTATTGTAAGTTCTTGAAAATATATTTTTTCGATCGAGTCGTACATGTCACAACCAAAAAGTTGATTATTGTCCACCTTGCAAATTAAAGTGTTTTCTCCAATTCAACATCTACTTGAAAAAGGTTTTCATTTGTTTCTTAATTTTTCAGTTAATTTTCCTTGTCCACATGCAAGATGGCGTACATTTGGGTCAAACAAGTCAGTTTTTATATACTAATGTGAAAATGAGTCACTAATTTTGGCAAAACAATCTGCAATTTTCCTTACAGCCAAAACAAAATATCTGTCCCAGAAATATGACAAGATTGCATTTGACCAGCAGAAAAGTCCTTCCAAAGATGAAAATATTTCTGGCTAAGAATAACAGGTCAAAGCTTAATCTTGTATTTCTTCAGAAAAACAAATCTCTGCTACAGTTTCCTTACCAGTGAAAGGTTTGAGAATGAAAGACAAATTAAGACAGAGGACAAAAGGTGGTGACAAACAAAGAGGTGGTAGGGCAACATACCAACAGAAGACAGGTGCCAACAGACAAAGGGTGGTGACAAACAAAGAGGTGGTAGGGCAATATACCAACAGAAGACGGGTGCCAACAGACAAAGGGTGGTGACAAACAAAGAGGTGGTAGGGCAACATACCAACAGAAGACAGGTGCCAACAGACAAAGGGTGGTGACAAACAAAGAGGTGGTAGGGCAACATACCAACAGAAGACAGGTGCCAACAGACAAAGGGTGGTGACAAACAAAGAGGTGGTAGGGCAACATACCAACAGAAGACAGGTGCCAACAGACAAAGGGTGGTGACAAACATAGACACGCACAGACTGATGAGAGGGACTGAACCAAGATCAATACACAAGACAGTACATACTTAACAAACTGAGATTGATGCTAACAAAATATTTTGATAATATCCAGATAGATAAATGAACAAATTGACACTGGTACATAGATGTTTATGAAGCTATATGTAAGTAAAAGTCATCAAAACAATTTTAGATGGATATAAAATGAAAAGAGATGAATAAACTCAAATATACCAATTTTTCAGAATTATTTTAAAGAAACCCTGAAAATCATGTTCAATCAAGTTATTACTATTAATTTACTATGTATTTCTCTCATTCTTATAATTGTTGTTTTTAGTTATAGTTGAAGGGTGATTCGATTGTAAGTGCTTTGAGAAAAACTTATGAAAGTACTTAGAAAAAAGGCAAACCAAATGAATTCTTAAAATGACATACACTTTAACAATAGCCAATTTAAAAAATAAACCAGAATTCTAAAACATGATAAAGTTTTAAAAAAATTTTTACCCACCAACCCAAATTTTATAAAGTTACATTTTAAATGTATTACTCAAATCCCAAAATAAATTTAAAAAAAAAAGACAGAAAAAATAAAAAATAAAAAAAACTAACCTTTTTGGGTTTCACATTTTCAACAGCTGATTTTACAGAATTCCATGTTTTTTGCAAAGGTTTACTGTTTTGTACTGTTGACAGTGGCATTCCTTGTTTATCAACAAACATATGTTTCGGACATTGCTGGAAAAGAAAGATAGGCGTCTTTTGATTAATTGAAATATTTTTTTTTTTTAAATTACGTCATTTAATCTGACTCATTAATAATTAGAATCTTCCTTAAATTCAAATTAGTGCCATTTGGAAATTATAGTTTAAAACAGTTACATTTCCAATGCATTTTTTTATTGGATTAAAGATTTCATTATCAATAAATTTAGATTATGAACCGGCTGACCACAAAAAAAAAAGAAAAAAAGATATTTATTTCCAATGAGTTTTATTGATTTTGCTTTCAGATTTAACTAATGCTCTCATTATTTACTAAGCATAATTTATATTATTAACAGGTGGATTATTGTCTTCATTTTTTTTTTTTTTTTTTTTTTGTTATTACAGTGTTTCAGCCCTCTGGCCTTCATCAGATGCTTGTTGATCTGAGTAACCTTCAGGGAATTTCAAACTAAACCCTTTATTTCATCTACCAATTTATTAATTCAGTCTCATCAGTAGGCAAATTAGTTTTAAGGTTCCATCATCTAGACTCAGGATTGTCACATGGGATAAGAACCTAGTGGATTAAAGTTTTAATAATTGTGAATTCAATCCCTGGTTCAGGAAATGTAGGCTTGAAACAAGGAAAGCAATAACTGAACAATGCTAAAATTAAAACTAGAGGAGATATTCCTAAATATGGTCAGCAGAATGAGAACAATGTACCATTATAAACAAAGGGTTCAATGAAATACTCTAATGGTTGCTCAGATGAAGATGCACCTGATGAAGGTTTGAGGGTACAATAGCTGAAATGTTGTGATAAGAACAACAGACCACATCTAAAAAATGTAAATAATAACTAGTCACCCAAGAAATTCAGATAGAAATTAAATATAGTTTAGTTTTTGTACAGGGCTCAAAGTATAGGACACCCATTTTGGATGAATCAAACTACACAACAGTAATAGCTGAAGAGTTCTAGAAGTGGTAAAAATCAAAAAATCCACAAGTCAAAAGTCACAAATATGTATGTTGCAAAATTCTCCATGACACACCACAGAGAACAAAATTAACAAAATTGACTTACCTTGTCAAAACAAGTGACAATATGTTGCATGTTTTATCTGCCATTGAAAAATGAGGGCTCAGCTTATACATAATTCAGGAGGTCAGTTGAGGCGAAACCAAAATTTGCATAATATTCTCTATATAAAGAGACAAGTCACATGAGCCCTCATTTTTCAATGGCAGATAAAACACGCAACACGTTGTCACTTGTTTTGATAAGTTGCCTTTTTCTCCACAATACCCCTCCACCGATCTCATGATCACGTGACGTCCTAGAGCAGGTCCCTTGATCTTGGCACTTTGTCATAATGAGACAATCTCCACCTTGTGTACTGATGTGTCTTTTCCCAAGGAATTGTCAGATATCTGCCTCCATAGAATCATCAGATTTACCGAGTCAAATTGATCATTTATTACCAGATAACAAATCATTATTGGAGTCACATGTCTGAACTTATAAAGGAGCGTGAATCTTTTACATGACGTCATACAGCTTTCACCCACAATCAGACTCCCACTCTATACATGATGCACAATCAGATAGGTAATGTGATAATAATCAGGTGTCAGGAGGTAATGTTATGTTGAACCCTTCCCTCTGAATTAGTAGTGTTGAATCATGCACCACTTGCAATGTGCTGGGTCATTCTAGCATATTCTGGTTGTGATATCTCAATTCATATTCACATAGTTATGTCATCCTTTGACATAACATTGTACCAATAAACCACACCCATTATTAAACATTGCTTCCCCCACAGTGATTCTGTTTATGCCCTGATGGCATCTTTATACCATTGCCTGTGGGAATATACTCATACTAGAATTAAAATCAGGCACGCGTACAGCCATCTAAGAAATCTTTAAACAACTTGCTAGTATCACTGTCAGAATTTCTGTTGGTGAGCACCATGCATAAAAATATGGCCTCTAACTACCAAATAAAATTTCTCAAATCTTGCTGATGCAGAAATTGCCATATCACAAATTGAGTCAGACCACAATCAATGTAAGGTAGTGTTTTCCATTATAATTAGTAATATCCATTGCTGTAGTTTAAATGAGTCTCTGTTACTACGATGTCACTTGTACAAATCCAGATACCACTGGTTCAATTCATCATTCTTGCTTTCTGCACACTTCACAACATAAATCTGAGTTTTCTTCTACCGTTTTCACTACTTTTTATCAGGCCAACACTGCAGTTGACCAACCAATCAGTGTTCTTTGCTTTTATTCTCAGTTACCCAGGCAAATAACCTCCTCAAGTTCAACCAATCAGCACACGACTTGCTATTGGTAGAAGCATGCCAAACTGTACAAAAAACACTTGTTACCGCACATACTGCTAGAATTGCTAGACGGGAGAGTAATGCCATTTTCACGGAGTAAACTTGCCAATGTCACATGCCACACGTTAAGGTAAAACCCTTATTTTCCTATGTACCAGATGCAAGCCACTCTGGCTCGCTTGCTTCTACGGGGCTGTTCATAACAATTCCTAAGTGAGTCCTTACTTTATTCACACTCATGAGTGTAGATTGGGCCAAACAACTGGCACTCCTTACACTCACAGACCCTGACAGCAAATCTTGATGCCATATAGGATGGATTCATCTCACAAAGTACTTTGTCCATCTGATGCCAAGATGTTGACACTGGCAATGTACTGCCTTTATCTGATCCAAAAAGATTTTGTTCAGCATCAAAGCATATATAGGATGTACTTTTTCAATCTCCTTCTTCATACAGTATGTGTGATTTTATCTGTCCAGTTCTTATTTAATGTGACTAATGTCATGATTACTGATAATTTGTACTCTTGAACCAACTTTTCAAGAATCCCAAGATGTGTTTAGATTAGCATCTTACCTGCCACCCTTGTACATATTCTAACTTTTCTATTGGACATATCAGACACATGTGGAGTTCTTGATGCTCTTCAGGATAGTATCCATCTCTGCCAAATTTATGTTACATGTCACCTACTGGTCACAGACAACATGCATCCCTCTATCAATCTACAATGAAACACCAGTAGCATGAAGACTTGCCATGACCCACACCTCAAAGGTTTGTTCATTGATGCACCACTTGCAACATGCAGGGTCATTCTAGCATATTCTGGTTATGATATCTCAATTCATATTCACATACGTACAGATGACAGGTGCTAAGATTGCCAGACACACACATAGATGACAAGTCCCAAGATCAACACACGCATGTAGGTTTTGTGATTAGCTGGCACACACCTCACTGCTAAGTAACGGAAATGATATATGTCCTGAGAGGGGAGCATAAGACAGTTTTTTTTTTATCAAAACCAAACATAAATGTACACTATTTACATTATTCAGACTATTGTCCTCATTTTTTGTCACCATATTTATTACAACGTTTCAGCCATTGTATGCTCCAGACTTCTTCAGGTGGTTGGTATGTTGAACTGAACCCTTTATTTCGCTCACTGGGGTAGACTGTTCTAGTCCTCAAGGACACAAGGCACAGTGGATAAAGGCATTAGTTAGATCCAGTGACAAGACCCAAACAGTGTGAGTTCAATACCTGGTTAAGGCAGTGGAGAACTTTCAGAGTGGAATTAACTGATAACTGACATCCATTAAACATGGTACATGGAACTAGAAGAGTCTACCCCAGTGAGCGAAATAAATGGTTCAGTTCAACATACCAACCACCTGAAGAAGGTTATAGCATACAATGGCCGACACGTTGTAATAAATATGGCGAGAAAGATGAGGACAATAGTCCAAAAATGCAAATAGTGTACATAATATCTCATCTCAGAAACATAGGCCGAAACGTTGTAATAAATATGGTGACAAAGATGACGACAATAGTCCCAAAATGCAAATAGTGTACATAATACCTCATCTCAGAAATATAGACAGATACTAAAAGGCTGAAACGTAATAAATATGGTGACAAAGATGAGGAAAATAGTCCTAATAATGTAAATAGTGTACATAATACCTCATCTCTGAAATATAGACAGATACTGAAAGACCGAAACATTATAATAAATATGGTGACAAAGATAAGGACAATAGTCCAAATAATGTAAATAGTGTACATAATACCTCATCTGAGAAATATAGACAGATACAGACATAAATGATACTGACCAGCACACGACAAACAACACAGCTACACAGAGCCAACCACACAGGAAATAGTCCCACTAGCTTTCTACACTATGAGATGTTAAATTGCATTATGAACTCAGGAACTCCGGAAAAGTCATTTTCACACTTCCAAATAAGAGAATTGTGCTCCCTGTTGACTTGCAAACCCAAAACACAAGAACCTTAACAATTCTGGGTCTTTGCAAGTCAGTCCAAATTTATCCAAGTGCTGTTTTTACATGGTCTGCATAGTTTGTCAATGTATACATGTTATGTCTTCCTTATATTGAATGAAGATAACACAATCATGAAATATAATGCTATTTAGACAAGTTCAAGTCATATTCTAGAGAGCTGTGGTCATCACCACAACATCCCCCTTTTTAGATATGCACTTTCTTTAGTCAATACATTTTCCGACATTGGTCCACTTCCAACGTTTCAGTCAAATTACATTTTCACTTACCCTGACATTATATTGTAATATTGGTTTTAGGTATTCAAAGGTATTGTGAAGTATGTCCATCAGTGAATTATATTGCACCAGTTGCTTATTCTGTATATATCTAGACCTCAACTGATTTATATGTCTTCTTTGTTGAAATTGTCCACCTTCAACAATGTACATCATACTAAGAGAGGCATCAAACAATTTTTCCTTCCTGCCACTTTTCCTTTCTGGCCTTAAAGCTTTTAAAAAGACTTTATTGCCAATCTTAAGTGATCTAGTAGTTTAAAATTGTCAACTTTTTTTTATTCCTTGGCAGTAATTTGTCAAAAATGTATCTAACTTTCCTAGCAAACATGAACTCTGCAGGTGACAGTTTTGTTGTGACATTTGCATTTGACATCATTTGATATATGCACAAAAATCCTTGTAGTGCCATTTCTTCAACTTCCAAACCTTTATTTATTCTTAATGCCTTTTTGAAGGTGTCGTCAAACTGCTCAGCTTGATCATTCGACCTTGAATGATAAATTGGTGTTGTCAAATGTCCAACCGTGTAGTTCTTGCAGAAATTTTAAGCACATTAGAAGTGAATTGAGTTCTATTATCTGATACCATGCTGTCAGGTACTCCAAACCTTGCAAAAAAGTTTGCATAATTATGATCCAGCAAAGTCCATATATAATCGTCCCCACAGTTTATCAGTGCTTGGCCATACCTGATAATTCATAGGTCGTGATTTTGCTGCTGAATTACAACCATTACATTTTCTAACTGTATTTTGAATATTTTTATCCAGTATTGGCCACATAGCTTCTCATCAGGGATTTCATCCTCACTATTCCGGGATGTCCTAAGTGAAATTGTTTCAAAGTCCTTTTTTGTAGTAATAATGAAGTTGTTATTCTTTCCACATACTCCAACACAATAAGAAAATGCTGTATTATGGTTACCAAGTTTTATTTTAAAGTTTTGCTCTATTTCAACTTAACATCATTCATAGTTTTTTGAATAAACATATCCTTTTTAGAATGAATTTTGATATTGTCTATCATGACTGGCAATTCCTTAATAGGCTTTAAATTTTGCTTTCGGATTCCACCAAAGCAATCACAGTATCTTCAAATCCTTTACATTTTGATATCAATCTGCACAAACTTTTTGTGTGCCTCAATTCTTTTGACAAGAGAAATTCCATCTTGAAATCATAGTTCAATAAAATCGTCACCCAACGTTGTAGTCTGTTTGCAGTATATGTGGGAATCTTTTTCTTAGAAATGAATATACCTAATGATGGATGATGATCAATTTGCAGTATGAATTTTCTTCCTAATATTATACCATGAAATTTCTTTACAGCAAAAATTATAGCAAGCATTTCCTTTTCAATTTGACTGGAGCAGTTTTCCATACTTGTCAAATTATAATATTGCTCACCAGTGTTATTCATTTGTACTGTAACAAATTTTCTATTATTTGAACTTTCCAGTTTTTTT